TTTTTTTCATTTTTTGCCAATTTTTTATTTGATTATTTAAAAAAAAACAAAAGTTGGCTCAAGTGGTTTCACACATCACGAGATTCAGTGGATTTAGATTTTGTTATCTTAGAAATCACAGAAGCTGTAGTAGTACCACGGATCCACATAGCTTTTCTTCTTTTTCTTCACGTCTGTGATAATTTGGTAGTGGACCGGACATGTGGCAAGATTTGATTGGATGTGTCTGTCTGTCACTTACGTAAATGACAGATCCTTAAAAGCTTAGCTATTTAGTAAAAACCAGATTCTTCTTCTTCTTCTTCGTAACGGGTAACGGTCCCGTTAGGTCTCAGAGGTGAAGTCCCCACACTAAAACTCTTATAGTATGTAATATCGCATTTAAACATAGCACGACATTCAATGTAAAATTGACGCTTGTCTCGTATTGTTAACTGTAACGGTCTAACGGTAACATAAGTTTTAATGAGATAGATACTTCTAAACCATAAAAGTAACACTGATATTAACCTTATACCAGTAGTAAGTATAGTAGTAACAAATAGTTTTCATTTTCTTCCCTATCAACAACAGTTTTCTTTATTAGAACTAATAAATCCAATAAGTCCCCGAATAAAAAAAAATCTAAAGCAAAATTTAAGAAAAACATTTACAGATTTTTTTTTACTATGAAAATTTTTATGCTTTTTTTTATAACCGGTAAATCTCAGAGCAAAATATTTTTTTGTGATGTATAAAGGCTAAACATGATTGAAACTGTTGTGAAACCATTATTTTATTTTGATTAAGATCCAAATAGAGAATCATCAACCTTTTATACCATCATCAACATAAATTAAGAATTTTTTTTAAAAAATGTAGTGTCTTTGTAAACAAAACTAGAGAGAACTAACATCTTTAGTAAATGTGATTCTCTAAGTGACATAGCGATACAGCTCCTATTAAAAAAACGATATTCTAAAATATGATTCTCTAAGAAAACTTCCTATGTAGTTAAAAAAATAGTGATTTCAGTTTTTATTATTATTTGCATATTCTGACATTGATTGATTGGCATATTTTGAACTATATGGATTCATTCTTTGCTGTCAAGAAAATAAGATTCATTCTTTTTGTACCTGTAGATAGTTTCAAACATTTTTTTATTTTGTATCTTAAAAATAAATTCCAATATATAAAACCATTTTCAAATATTTTGGTACCATATTACTATGTTGTTTTATGAATTATGTGTTGTTTTGTAACATTTCAAATAAAGTAAGAATTACAAATGAGATCTCTACAAAATCAAATTGATTTTTTTTTGTTGCAAAAAAACAAATTCTATTATATACTATGTTTTTATTAGTTTGACTAAAGATTAGTTATATATTTTCCTATAAAATTCGAAAATAAAATTTCCTTTCAAATTAAACTAAATATATATTGAAGAGATATTTATTGTTAAACGTATGGAGTGTTTACACAAAAACAAAACCAATTAATATCCAAAACTGTATTTGAATTCGATTACTTTTGAGTTTAACAGATATTTTTTGTTCAATGTATATTATAAGCATACTATTGATCACTGACAAATGTGAGTACAATTATATACATTCACACTGTAATTTTTTATTTGTAATTCCAATTTAGAATTCTTGATCTAAATGGCTGTTTGAAGATTACATAGACATTTTCAGAAGTAACAATCAAAACAAAATAAATAAATAAATAAACAGCAAGGGAACAAGCAACTAACTTTTGCTTGTCGAGTTTGGCGGAAGCGTGAGATGCCGTACATGTTGCAGAATTCTGCTGGGTACAAGAAATTGCCAAATTGGGGTATTGATAAACTAAACTAAACTTTTTTTTTTTTGGGGGCAAAAAAACTAAACTAAACTAAACTAAAATAAAAGAGGATTATAAGAAGGGACAGGACAATTGGTGAAAGAGCATGTTAACTTTTAAAAATGGGTTAGTGATCGATTATGGTGTTAAATTATCAAAAATACATTTATAATACGTTCAGAAAATTCATATAACTGCGTATTTAACATTAAATAATTACTTTATAGAATGATATCATCACAATAATTCTTGAAACCAAGTGATCAGTTGCAGATATATATATATATATATATATATATTCATCTTGATTCAGTTTATATTTAAGGTTATTATAAACATATTAAGAAAAACATAAATTAAATATATATTTTAAATAAAAACATCATATTATTTAATTTAAAACAATTTAACCAATGATGAAAAAGACTACAAAATACTATTGGTAAAATTTTCATTAAAGAAATTTAATTTTATATTGGAAACACAAAACATCAATTTAAATGAAACAAATTTTGTTTGCTTAAATATATATTATAATGAAACAAAGAGGATTATAAGAAAGGAAGGAACAATTGGTGAAAGATCATGTTAAATTTTTAAATTGGGTTAGTGATCAATTATGGTGACAAATTACCAAAAATATATTTATAATACGTTTTTGAAACTTCACATAATTGCATATTTGATACTAAGTAATTATCATCACAATAATTGTTGAAACCAGTGTTAATGGATAGGATCAGTTGCAGAGATATATACTCACCTTGTTTCACTTTAAGTGATGTTTAATGTTATTACAAACATATTAAGAAAAACATAAATTAAATATTTTTGTTTCTTTTTTTTCTCTATAAAAAACATCATTTATTGTTTTTTTTTTGTCGACCTTTTTTATTGTTTAATTTAAAACAATTTAATATTTTTCCGCATTTAAAACAATTTAATCAGTGATAAAGAGACTACATAATAGTATTGGTAAGAATATAATTTTCACATATATTTGAAATCTAAAACATCATAGTTAAAAAAATCTTGATTATTTCTGAGACTCATGTTCTAATGACAAGTCAGGTTGCAAGTTCGTCGCCCATACTATCTTAGAGGTATCTTTATCCCGAAAAGTATTAAGTTTTCAAAAATTTATCAAATTATAAATTTGTTATTAGTCATGATCATATATAATTACTATATAAAGGGACAATGAAATCATTATTTTTATCTGTTAAAATCGGTTTTATTTTAACTACAGATATTGTTGTCAGTTTTATTTTAGTTGTACCGTAAATTAATTTTACATTTATAAAACCATTAAATTTTATTACAAACGAATTATATATTACAAGTTAATTTTTGTAGAAAAAAAAAGAACTCATGAAAATATAAAAAAAAAATTACGTAGGGGAGGTGCATTATTGAGGGACCCAGCACGATAAAAAGTCAATACCTCCTTAGCGATATTGATGAATAAATAATCTTGAAACAATTTCGTCAAATTAAAATAAAATAATATTCACAACATGTGAATCGTTCCAGCAATTGCTGACCTTGCCATGAGACACCTTGGAAGAGCCATCGCTTCATTACAATCCTTTAAAGCCATTAGGAATTTAGGATTACCATTCACATTTTGTAAATTGAATAATTCCTTAAGCTACTTACTTAATTTCCTCCAATCCATAATGTCCACATTCTCTGAGAGTCTCAGATTTAATCCACGCGTACAGCTAATTTTACTTTTGAAAAACAAATTTTTTTTCTTAATCATAACGCTGATATATAAATATGTCTATCGAAACTAACAATTTAACACATTCTTTAAAAAAAAATTAGTATCACGAAAAAAAAACAAATGAACAATTCTAACAAATATATGTATTTTATTACTCTTTTTGTTTTAAAATAATTATCACTTTGACACTTTTCATACTATAAATTAAGAAAATCATTAAAATATTTATTTTATTCTTTCTTCATAAATAAAATAATATTTTCTTTCTAATTAAACAATAAAAATTAAAGGTTAAAATTGAATATTTATTCAAAATAATACATTAAAAATGTAAAGTGACATTTTTTGTAAAACAAAAATAAAATTTTAGATTAACATTTATTTTAAAACAGAGAAAGTACCAAATAATCTTTGTATCTAAATATCAAAGTGAAGAGGAGACAAAATTAACTGATTTGTGTCGAACTGTCTGAATTTGTATTGGTCATAATAAGTAAATAAATGATATGAAATCATAGTTTTAATAATAAAAACTAAAATCTACTAAAACCCAGTGAATTAAAAATACGTTTTAAGTTTGTCATTGTATCTGTTTGTACTACCACCAAACTTGAACTTTTGTGGTTTTCATCTCAACTAAAATTTATTTTGGATCACTAACCTGATACGAATTTTGTTCATTTGCATATCTGTGATGTGAAAAATAAAGTTAGTATTTCACACATATATAATTATACATGCCACACACACACATCCATCCATCTATATGTTATAAAACTATGTTTTCCATCAAGTTGTATAACTTATATTAAATTAAAAAAACCAGTTAAGAGTAGCTTTGCACTACTCTTTGGGAACCAAAACTCAATTTTATTTTTTAAAAGCATCATTCAGTTTTAATATTATTATTATTTGTATAGAGATTTGGTCTTATTGATTAATCAACTTTATACTCACAAATATAGTATCAGTTAAAAACATAACATTGTCCATACATAACAACAAATACTTATCAGGAACAAAAATAAAGATTACATAATGTAAAAACTAAGTCTAAAAATGAAAAACTCTTTTTCATTTTATTTTGGATGTTATATTTGCCATATGATCATAATTTGAGATAAGTATGAGATTTCTCTGAAATATTAGCTAAAATTTTTAAGTTTGTCATTGGATTCCAAATATAAGACCAGGTAAATAATTTTGAAATTGATCATAACCACAAAAACAGAGTATATAATATCTCTGATTCTAATGATACAAACCATAGATTTAAAGTCAAATACGTTTTCCCAAGTGAGAAGGGATAACAATCAGGAGCCATTGATGAACATTGAACACCAAATCATAATAATCAACGGTGCAAAGGCGAGCGAAAAAAGAAAAAAATAATATTTGAATTGAATAAAAATGGGGTAAATTACTAAATAGAGTCTGGTACGGGACCCACATGAGCCGAAACGGCGAAGAAGTCCGTCGTTTAAAGTCGTTTAAAAAGGGAGAGACGTTTCTGCTTTGCAACAGAAGCTCGCTTCACCTACATTTCTCTCTCTTCCTCTCTCTCCCGTGTGTGTGATCGAGTGCTGAAACGACAGAGGGACACGCCGTTTTGGACTTTACTGTGAAGGAGGAGGAGGGAGAAGCGAGATGTCAGGTCTCGAGGATATCAAGAACGAGACTGTTGATCTGGTAATTTATTCGATTTCTTCGATCTTCTTCTTCTCGCTTGATTGATTGATCTTCTCTCGTTTGTGTTTGCTCATGCCCACAAAGTGTTCGATGATTTGCTTGAATGAAAATAGATCTGTTTCGTTTCCCTTTTGCATGATTTTTTTTTTTGCTTACACTCTCTCTCTCTCTAAGTGATTTCGTTTTCAGATGATTCTTTTTCTTGGATCATATACTGAATCTCCAACCCCTAAATTATCTGATGATTTTAGTCGCTATTTTCATGGATCCGATACAGAGCCTGATTTTTTTTTAAAATTTTTGAAGGAAACTAATCACAACTTTAATGAAGATTTAATCGGACCCTAAATTTGGGTAAAATAACAGAAACTCTTTTAAAGCTATTAGCCAAAAACAGTTCGAATTACTGTTCATCAGAGAAAAGTAGATCTACGCAAAACTCTACACATGTGAATCACTGAAAAAAAAGATAAGAAAATAGAGCGGCTTTTTAGTGGTGGAGCTAAGCTACGTCACAATAAAGTCTTTTCATATATTAATTAATTAAGCACACATATTAAAAAAAAAAGTTTGATTTTTGCTTGTGATTTTGGTCTTCTCTTTTTGTTTGTTTATCTCTAAAATAATCTCTTTGCAAGATAACGTTTTTGCTGTTAAAGCAGTTCCTAATATTCTATCTTCCACCCATAAAATTACAAATACATTTTTTTTTTTGGGTTATTGGTGTACCTTTCCGTAGTACGTTTTTTTTTTGTTTTTAAAACTTGTTTGTCTTTTAGTATAACATTATTCAACCGACGCAACTTGTGAATTTCCTCGGGGACTGTAAAAATCAGTTTTTTTCTGAATTTTGTGCATGGTGGTTTTATGACTGAAATACCCTTAACCGGACCTTGGCTTTCACGCCGGAAAGTAGCCACCTTTCATGGAGGGAATCACGCAGCGCGTGTGTTTCACGTCCTTTACACGTGCATTGTTAGTAGTAGTGGTGGTGGTGGTCCCTGCCACCTCCACTGCCCGATTCTTTTTACCTTTCATTGTCACTAACTTGAGTCAACGCCACTCTTCCGAGTCGCCGAGTTGGGATCGTTTCGAGATTTGTATGAAACTTAGAAAGTTTTCTTTTTTAAATGCTTTTTACCCTTTTTGTTTTGTTTAAAGATGTTACATCTATACCCTTTGCGTGGCCATGTATGAATTACTACTTTAAATGGGTTTCTGATCGAAATTTGGTTGGATTTCTCAGGAAAAAATTCCCATTGAGGAAGTTTTCCAGCAGCTAAAATGTACAAGGGAAGGGTTGACGACGCAGGAAGGGGAAGACAGGATTCAGATATTTGGCCCCAACAAGCTCGAAGAGAAGAAGGTTTGAGTTTGACCAAGCATTGTTGATTTCTGATATTAGAAAGCTTTGGTTTTGTAAAGGGAACTCGCGGAGCTAATCTCTGATAATGAAATAACAGGAAAGCAAAATTCTGAAGTTCCTGGGGTTCATGTGGAATCCGCTTTCATGGGTTATGGAAGCTGCGGCTATCATGGCCATTGCTTTGGCCAACGGTGATGGTAGGCCTCCGGATTGGCAGGATTTTGTCGGTATCATCTGTCTTCTGGTTATCAACTCCACAATCAGTTTCATTGAAGAAAACAACGCCGGAAATGCTGCAGCTGCTCTCATGGCTGGTCTTGCTCCTAAAACCAAGGTAACATGTCGCAGAATGCTGTGACGTTATTGTACATGACGTTTCAAAACTTGTGTAAAGCTTAACTTGTTTGTTTGTTTTCTTGTTGTGATGTTTCTGTTTTTCAGGTGCTTAGGGATGGAAAATGGAGTGAACAAGAAGCTGCTATTCTTGTCCCAGGTGATATTGTTAGCATTAAACTTGGAGACATTATCCCAGCCGATGCCCGTCTTCTTGAAGGTGATCCTTTAAAGGTGGATCAGTCTGCTCTTACTGGAGAGTCCCTTCCTGTGACCAAGCACCCGGGCCAAGAAGTTTTCTCTGGTTCAACTTGTAAACAAGGAGAAATCGAAGCGGTTGTTATAGCTACAGGAGTTCACACCTTTTTTGGTAAAGCTGCTCACCTTGTGGACAGCACTAACCAAGTTGGGCACTTCCAGAAAGTTCTTACATCCATTGGAAACTTCTGTATCTGTTCAATTGCAATTGGTATTGTGATTGAGATAATCGTCATGTACCCTATTCAAAGAAGAAAGTACAGAGATGGAATTGACAATCTCTTGGTCCTCTTGATCGGTGGTATCCCCATTGCTATGCCGACGGTCTTGTCCGTGACTATGGCTATCGGGTCTCACAGGTTGTCTCAGCAAGGTGCCATCACCAAACGTATGACTGCCATAGAAGAAATGGCAGGAATGGATGTGCTGTGCAGTGACAAAACCGGAACACTTACCCTCAATAAATTGAGTGTGGATAAGAACTTGGTCGAGGTTTTCTGCAAGGGCGTGGAGAAAGATCAAGTCCTGTTGTTTGCAGCCATGGCTTCTAGGGTTGAGAACCAGGACGCTATTGATGCAGCCATGGTTGGAATGCTTGCTGATCCAAAAGAGGTATAACTCTTCTCTGTTTGAATTACTTCAGTGGTTTAGTCATTCGAGAAAACAAGTTCTTATGTTTTCACTTGGATTTTATTCGTAGGCCCGAGCTGGAATCAGGGAGGTTCACTTCCTTCCATTCAACCCTGTGGACAAGAGAACTGCTTTGACTTACATCGATTCTGATGGTAACTGGCACAGAGTCAGCAAAGGTGCTCCCGAGCAGGTAATGAATCTTCAACTCTCCCCTGCAGATGCTAGTTTTTTTCTTCATTCAGTCTACTAATTTGATTCTCCCACACAGATCCTCGACCTTGCCAATGCCAGGCCTGACCTTAGGAAGAAGGTACTCTCTTGTATTGACAAGTACGCAGAGCGCGGTCTTAGGTCATTGGCAGTTGCTCGTCAGGTACTTACTTGCCAGTGGTCTTATATTGTCAGACTTAATTGGCCTTTATTAAGCATGGAAACAAATGTTTAACTGTCTGTTCTTATTCATCTTTAGGTTGTTCCCGAGAAAACAAAAGAAAGCTCAGGTGGACCATGGGAATTTGTTGGCTTGTTGCCTCTTTTTGACCCTCCAAGACACGACAGTGCCGAAACCATTCGTAGGGCTTTGAATCTTGGTGTTAATGTTAAGATGATCACCGGTAACTATACTTATTCATCATCTTCTTTTTCATGAAATTTATGGCAATTTGATGTTTTCTTCTAACTTGCGCTCTAACTACGTTCCCAGGTGATCAACTTGCTATTGGTAAGGAAACTGGTCGCAGGCTTGGAATGGGAACCAATATGTATCCATCTGCGGCTCTTCTCGGAACTGACAAGGACTCGAACATTGCATCCATTCCTGTCGAGGAGTTGATTGAGAAGGCTGATGGGTTTGCTGGCGTCTTTCCAGGTTATAACTTGCTTTCAATCTTAAACCTCATCATATGTTCGTTAGAAAGGGACTTGTTATATTGATCCAACTTCTTATGTTTCTTATTGTAGAGCACAAATATGAGATTGTGAAAAAGCTACAAGAGAGAAAGCACATTGTTGGAATGACCGGTGATGGTGTCAACGATGCTCCTGCTTTGAAGAAAGCCGACATTGGTATTGCCGTGGCCGATGCTACAGATGCTGCTCGTGGTGCTTCAGATATTGTTCTCACGGAACCTGGATTGAGTGTTATCATCAGTGCAGTGCTTACTAGCAGAGCTATCTTCCAGAGAATGAAGAACTATACGGTGCGGATTCTCTTACTTTTATTCTTATATTATGCCCACTACTTGTGTTCGTTTGCACCAGAAACTAATAACTCCTTTTTTTCCCCTTCTTGTGACAGATTTATGCAGTCTCAATCACAATCCGTATTGTGGTAAGTAGACTCCCCGTATAAATATATATCCATCACTTGTTTAGCATTATTTATTTATTTCTCGTGTACTGATCACATTGCGCTGTAATTTTTGCAGTTTGGTTTCATGCTTATTGCTCTGATATGGGAATTTGACTTCTCAGCGTTCATGGTTCTGATTATTGCCATCCTTAATGACGGTGAGCAAATGGCTTTACTTTTCTATATAGCCTCCTAATACATTATCTGCGATATCTTATGGTTCTGATTATTGCCATCCTTATATGTTGCTATCTTATAGGTACCATCATGACAATCTCAAAGGACAGAGTGAAGCCATCTCCCACACCTGATAGCTGGAAGCTCAAAGAAATTTTCGCCACCGGAATTGTGTTGGGAGGCTACCAAGCCGTTATGAGTGTGGTTTTCTTCTGGGCGATTCACAAGACTGACTTCTTCTCGGTAATCATCATCAGTATTTTTTTCTTTTCATTTTGGGTAAAGGTGCTTCAGAGACAAGTTTATAGATAAATATTGCCTAAGAAACTAAAATTGACCTTTGATTTGCAGGACAAGTTTGGTGTGAGGTCAATCAGGGACAACAACGATGAGCTAATGGGTGCTGTGTACCTACAAGTTAGTATCATCAGTCAAGCGCTCATCTTCGTCACGAGGTCAAGGAGCTGGTCGTTCGTTGAGCGTCCTGGGGCGCTTCTGATGATTGCATTCGTCATTGCACAACTGGTACGAACATCAAATGCTCATATTTTTCAAGAAATTCACTTTAAAGAAAAGAAAAGAAAAGAAACCCATGGAGATTCATTTCACTCTTCTTCCTCCCAAATGCAGGTTGCGACTTTGATTGCAGTGTATGCCGACTGGACATTCGCAAAGGTGAAGGGTATCGGTTGGGGATGGGCTGGTGTGATTTGGATTTACAGTATTGTAACATACTTCCCACAAGACCTTTTGAAGTTTGCCATTCGATACATCTTGAGTGGAAAGGCTTGGGTCAGCTTGTTTGACAACAGGGTACTTAACTACACACAAAACTTAGTCTCTGACGTCTCTTTTTTAGATCCCCATGGTTAAAAATATGATGATGCTTAACTGCTTTCTGCTGTTACTTTAACAGACCGCTTTCACGACCAAGAAAGACTACGGTATTGGAGAAAGAGAAGCACAGTGGGCACAAGCTCAGAGAACACTCCACGGTCTGCAGCCAAAAGAAGAGGTCAACATCTTCCCAGAGAAAGGAGGTTACAGAGAGCTGTCTGAGATCGCCGAGCAAGCCAAGAGAAGGGCCGAGATAGCTAGGTAAGATAGTAGTTTTGATTAAATCAATGGAAAGTTTGGAATTGTTGCTTGATTCTGATTTTGTGAGTGCTGCTTTGATCTTATGTTGTGACACAGGCTTAGGGAGCTTCACACACTGAAGGGACATGTGGAATCAGTCGCAAAGCTAAAGGGCTTGGACATTGACACAGCAGGACATCACTACACTGTGTAGTTGCAGTTGCACAACACAAACATTACCAAAAACCAACCCCATCATTATGACTCCTCTTTTGTTTTTGTCTTTTACAAATCCCTCTTTTTTTTCTTTAAGGTCTCCATTACAGTAGAGGGAAGAGAACCCTGTGTATTGCCATAACTCTCCCAAAAACTCTCTTTTATTGTTAGTCATTGTTCCTAAATTTGTACTCTTGAGCTTTGCAAAAATTGCCTTTGAAGAAACAAGGCTTGTGCCTTGTGTTTTGGCACTTTGGCTTCACCCTTTTTTTTAATGGCCTAATTGTGAGCGCTTATTTACTCTCTCTCGTTTACGTTTTTGTTTGATTGATAAGTTTTATTTTGAATCTAATATACGAAAATCATATTTGAAGCTTATGTACAAAGATCAAGATTGTGAGATATACATTGAGATTGTAGTGGGGTTTTGATAAGTAAAGAATGACTTCAAGGCACGTGCAAAGATATGGATGATGACTTCAAATCATTTCACTATCTCTTTGTAATCTGATAAGGAACATCTATTATGTCACGATTTCTCGATTTTTATTTTTTTTCTTTCACTTTTTCTAAGTCTCCCTTGATAAGAAGTGCCATTTGTATTCATTGGAAAGTTATTATAGCCTTTATTTTTCCATAACAAATTATCGGAGCAGAATAACAAATTCATCATTAAAAAAATATTCATTTACTGCGTCAATTATAGTATGAAACAAAAAAAAAATATTGCTCACATATAGTTAAGTTGAAATTCAATAGTCTTCTTCACTTACAAATACAATGGAAATAATGTTATTACGCAAAGTCAGTCGGCGCAAAATAAGTTAAATATCAAATTTGGTTTTTTTTTTTTGTATACTCTGAAATATTTTCTAAAAATAAAATTAGGAACTTTCTTAAGCAAAAATAAAGAAGACAAAAAACTAAGGATTTTGGGTAACACATGCTGTTTTTGGATGTATCACAACCAACAACAGCTTCAAACCAAAATGTGTAAACATGAACAAATAAATATATAGATTTATCATTGACCACACTTTCACATTTTATTCACATATTTAGCATGATTACACTACTGTATATAGTCGGGCGTAATAGATGAATAAGCGAGCTTCTAAGTTTCAAAGCTAAGCAAATTGATTTTTCTACATGCTGCCTTGTGATTATATCCTTAATTCCTAATTAAATAAATAATGAAACATTCTAACCAAATTGAATTCATAGCTAAATTCAACTTGTTTTCTTGAGAATCAGATTAAAGGAAATTTAGCTTAGTTTTTATAAAAAAAACTATGCTATCCGTACTCAGAGTAAGAAAAACCCCATTGTGATATAAGTTTTTCTTTTTTTAATAAACCATTAATTATATATAATTTTCAAGAAGTGTTATCTTGAACAAGAGACTTTAGAACAATCATCTGCAACTCAAGACATACAATGTAGCTTCCAATCTCACTCAACATGTCGTCCATGTTCATCTCTTCTCCACCTGGCAAAAGCTTTTGCAATTCTTTCAATCTATTCTTGATCTCTACTCCTTCTTCTTCAGCGTCTTGTTTACTGTTAGATCTTTCTAGAATCTTGGACGAATAACTAGGATCTTCGTGAGCGGACGATAATAGCTTGTGTTGTAAGAAACGGCTCCACGCGAATTCTTGAGCAGACAGAGCCAAAGCCATGTCTACTTCATGTTTCACGGTTTGCTCGAAACATTTGTGGTCGATTTTTGAAGAGGGTTTGTTCATGTTGATCTTCTTGAGAGCTGGAACCAAGTGACTCGCGTATCTTCTCGCAAAGACCGCCTTAGGGTTCTTGTTTGGTTGGAGAGAAAATACTCGTTTTCTCTTGTTTATAGTTTGCCTCTCCATATTTTTTATCTTCGTAGAAAGATTACAAAGGAAATACTTAGATATATATAGCCAAAACTCACAATAGGAAGAGTTAGAGAGAGAGAGAGAGAGAGAGAGAGAGAGAGAGAGAGAGAGAGAGAGAGAGAGAGAGAGAGAGAGAGAGATCCTACGATTGTGTATGATGATGGTTTGATGATGCGGGGAAAGGAGTAATGCTATAGGTAGAGCTCATGTGATATTTGACACAATCGCACTTTTTGAAGTTATTTCTGTGGATGTAAATGAGTATATGTTTGAGAATTATAGTAGTATGTAAGTAAATATACAAAAAATCAAATTCAAGAAGATTTAAATTTATGATAATCTATGTCGTCAAGTACTCTCTCTAGTAAGTAGTAACAAGTGAAACTATGAGATAAATCATGATATGAATTAAACACATTTTTCGTTAACCACTACACATTTTACATGACGGTTGCAAATCTTTATCAGACAAAAAATTTGATTAAATAATCAAGTTTGGACATAATTATATATATGTATGTAAATATAATATGTATAGCCTTGAAACAACTAACCCCAACAGTAACCAGTGTAGCTAATGGTTGATTGAGAGATAATGTAATTAGAGAGAGAGAGAGAGAGAGAGAGAGAGAGAGAGAGAGAGAGAGAGAGAGAGAGAGAGAGAGAGAGAGAGAGAGAGAGAGAGAGAGAGAGATGAAGGAAAAAAAACACATGGAGGCACATGGAAAAGCTCTAAAATTGGATGTATCATACCTACCCTAAAAGAGAGGAGGCTTGAGTTCCCTCTATACCATGTGACTCCATTGCCAGAATATGAAGACATCAACACTTAAAACCCCACCTCCTTTTAATACATTCACATGTCCTCTCTCTATACACACCCACATATACTTGCATGCATAGCTGCATATTAGTTGTATGAGTTTGTGTGTATGTATGTATGTGCATGTGTGCATGTGTAATGTGTTTGTTTGTCCTTATTTTACCCATGTGTCCTTGATTTTACCCATTTGTTATTTCTTTGTCATTAATTACTCCCCTCCTTTTGATCATTCTCCTTGGATGTACCAACATCTCATTTTTAACAAAATTATTGTGCAATTTAAAAGAAAACAAACTATATGAAACTTTTTGTGTTACAAGTTAACCGTTTAAGTTGATCGATACATTATTTTGGTAACACAAATAGTCATTAGTAGATTCCGATAATCAACCAATCCGGTGCGCGAGATCATTCAAAGGAGAAATTAACATATCTAGATCTTACATTGTGAGCCATTTTATGCAAAATTAAATGATACTAGTTTTTACTACGGTGAATTCACCTGATAGAGTGATAGGTGGTTAGTTTACAAATTAGCCATTTTATTATTTGCAGGTTCCATTAGATTTTGATCAACGCACTTAAAAGAGGCACTTAAAATATAGATACCCAAAACATGGTTAGGCCAGTGACTATTATAATTAATAAGAGAGGGTGAGACTAATAATTATCAAATTTTAGCTAATTGTTCTAACATTTCGAGTGATCGTAACACATTTTATATTGACATTAAAACTATCAAGTAAATCCCGGGATATAACTAGACTAAGACAAACAATATAAGTGAAGGTTTCAGTTTAATGATATGCATAATCTTAAGGACATGTTTGTAAGTTTCTTTTTCCCACTTAATTGCATTAAAACTACTCCCACCAATTATTAAGCTCCCTAAAATTAATCTGAAATTAGACACTTTCCCAAAACATTTGTAGTCTTCCTAAATTTTCTGATTGCCTCTTCCTTCAAAATACCCTAAAAAAAACCACAGGTCAAATATCTAGTCAGTTTATATTATATATATGTATAAATCGAGTCATCTTCATCATCAATCTCACAACAACAAAACCAAATTCTTTCGCTCTCTCACACACACACATACACAACAAAATGTCTACAAAATATATCTTTTTACCTTTCCTTCTCGTAATCATATTTGTCTCTTCATCTCAAGCAAGTCGTCAACTCTGGGATACTGGATTTGGCGGGTTTTTCGGACCCAAACCCGGGCTCAACGGGGTTCCCGCCGGGTTTCCCGAACATGGAGATGTGATGAATCCAACACACACATGCACGATGCAAGGACCTTGTTACGGTAAGAATCTGACGTGTCCCGCAGAGTGTTACAAATCATCCAACGTTGAGAAGGAGGGTTACAAAAGCACCAACAAGAGCGGAGGATGCACAATGGACTGCACGAACAAGTGTATCGCGCATTGTTAATTTGGACACATACGTATAACTACATGTTCTAGTTATTTTATGTTATCTTATAGTCTAATATATATATATATATATATATGAATATGATTAAGACGCCATTTGTATTGGAGAGTTTGTTTCTCCCTTTGTATGGATTTTGATTTAGTAGCTTTCTATCATCTTATGTATAACATGTTTATGAATAAAAGAAAGTTTTGCGTTTCTCAAGTTGTGTGAGAGATTCTCTACGTCTTATGATCTGATTCAAACGGGAAAATGTGAACAAGGCGATTTGGAAGTTTAGTTTACAGGAGTCACGTACAATTCATAAGTCTATCCAAAGATGAACAAATCATTATCAGATTTGTAAGCATATTTACGTCATACAAAAAGTAAAATGTCTCACAAACGTTCAGGATCAAGGCACCAAAAGTTTATATATATATATATATATATATTCTTTTTTTTTATCCATGCATATATATTATTTTTTTAATCCATGCATATATATGTTAATCGTTTTTCAGTTTTACAATGAAAAGTGTCGTTCTAGAGTTTTTGTTTTCTTGGATAATATTAATGACATTTTAGGTTTTCAATATCAAATCAAATTTGCAATTTATTCTTGACTGAAAGCTACTATTTTGTTTTTGAAATTACTTCATCATCAGTTAATTTGTGATACATTGAATATGGATATAATATTTGCAAAATTTTACATTGAAAACGATTGTTTTTATGAGACAAGTTGTACGTCGATTCGTTGATGACATGCATGGATATATAGCTTCAACAAAACATTTGCAATTTTTTAAAACACATTCTTTGTAGCATATAATCCACTATCACCAATTATCAAGTTGACTAAAATTAAAGGTTCTTCTCCAAAAAAAAGAAAGGTATAGTATCCCTTGATTTACTCGTTACCCCGTCCTTTTAAATAGCCTTTTAATTTTCTTCATAGATTCAATTTCAAATTTAAACTTAAAACTTCCGGCCTCTTTTAACTAAATTTAAATGGATCTTACTTCTCTTCAATAAATATTTTCCTTTTCAATTCTCGGTTATTTGATTATCTAAAAAATGGTTGAAGGAACATTGGCCAAGGCTTTTAGGGTTGTTGCTGCCACCGTGTTTGCAACAGCTACGGTGGTTTACGGGCAACAAGCGCCGTGTTACTTCATCTTCGGAGACTCAACTTTCGATAGTGGCAACAATAATAACTTGCAATCCAAGGCAAAAGTCAACTTTCCACCTTACGGTATTGACTTTCCCCAAGGCCCGACCGGGAGATTTACTAATGGTCGCACTATCCCAGATCTTATCGGTTAGTCTATTATGTATATATATGGTCTCAGATGTATCAAGTATACTGTAATATCATTAAGTTAGCTATTTTATTGTTTTATACAGGAAAAAATAAAACTATGGCCTATGCCCTAATTATCTTTTATTTTTGTGTGTTTGAATATATGATGTTTTTCTTTTCAGGTGAACTTTTGGGTTTTAAAGATTTTATTCCGTCATTCGCCGGAGCATCACCGGAACAAGCGCACACCGGGATGAACTACGCTTCCGGTGGAGGCGGACTTCGTGAAGAAACTAGCGAACATTTGGTAAGAAGTAAGAACTAAATAAGTAACGATGATCTCATTTCTTCTATATGAAAAAGGCTTCTTATGGTTTAATCAGACGTTATCATGTCTATATTCATTATCATAGTCTTTTCAAAATTTTAATAAAGCTTTATGAATCTATTGATACTTTAGTCAATTACTACAAATGAGGTTAAACAAATTTTGTCGATGACATAAGAAGCTTTTTCAAAATAATAACCACAAATTCGATATATATTTCAATTAATTATATAGTATTGATCTTTCACGATATAGGGGGGTCGAATCAGTCTAAGAAACCAAATACTAAACCACAAGAAGGCGATAAAGAAAGCGAAAGTGCCAACACAAAGACTGGAACAATGTCTCTACGCAATCAACATAGGAAGTAACGATTACATCAACAACTACTTCATGTCAGAACCGTACAACACGAGTCGTCGCTTTAGGCCTAGTCAATATGCATATTCTCTCATCATACTCTACCGTGCTCAGCTGAAGGTAAACTGTAATAGCTCATACAACTTCCCGCTACAACAATTTGTTTATAGATGTAGTTTTTGTTTTTGGTGATACATAGAGTTTGCACCGTCTAGGAGCGAGGAAGGTGGCACTTTTCAGCATCAGTCAGATCGGTTGCACACCAAAGATGATTGCCTCTCATGGTGGCGGTAAAGGTTGCGGGAAAGAAGTGAACGATGCAGTGGCAATTTTTAATAAGAACCTCTTGGACCTTGTCAACGATTTCAACAGGAAGGTCAAAGGTGCTAAGTTCACCTACGTTGATCTTTTCTGCGGTGGAGATCCTTTAGGTTATCGTCGTTTAGGTAAACTATATTGAACTCAAGACTTGTTACAGTTTTTGCCTAGACATTGAAAAACATTAAAACATATCTATATGCTTTGTATATTTGACATGAAATAAACGGTAAACTAGTTTTTTTTTTTTTTACGTAAATTTAGAAAGCTGAATTTACTTTGCTCTCATAATGTCGTAGGATTTAAGGTTGGAGACAAGGGTTGTTGTACAATAGCCCCAGGGGAAGAGCTTTGCACACCGAACCAACCGGTTTGTGCAAACCGGTCTGAATATATATTTTGGGATGATATTCACAGCACCGAAGCCACCAATATGATAGTGGCTAAAGGCTCGTTTGAAGGAATCTTAACTAAACCGTACAGCATCTCCCAGCTAGTGAAGGAATAGAGTTTAGCTTGTATACAATATACATGAAAATGACGAATCTTTTTTGGTACGTAGTTCTTTAACAAGGGAAAGTAAATGTATATATGTATATATCTATTTTTTTAGATGTAATTCTGAATATGCTATGTTATCTTCGTATAACATATTGGTGATGATGAATATGGTGTTGACTCATAAGGGAAGAACAACATTGCAAATACTATTTAGTATATTTATTAAAATATTAAATGTGAAATGTTTTTTATTTAGGTAAAACAATTATAGAATATATAATTTAAAATTAGAATGTGATTTGTTATCTTCTTTTAAAAGATATGTCATCTTTTTAAGTTAGCTATGACACATTTGTTTTTTTTTGTGAGGATGAAATTAGGTAAAACAATCATAGAATATCAAAAGAAATATCAAAGCGATTTAAATTAGAATGTGTTGTTTATCTTCTTTTAAATAACATGTCATCTTTTATAATTTATAATTTATAGTTACCTGACACATTTTTTTGTAAGGATGAATATTGGGTTGGCACATAGCAACACTCCAAAAATTGCAAATAATATCTTGGAGATTATTTTTCAAGGTAAAACTTAAGAATATATAAGCAATTAAGATTATAATATGCTATGTTATCTTCTTTTAAAGTACATGTCATCATTTTTAACTATCATATCACATTTTCTTTATGTGAGTATGAATTTATATAAAACAATCATAGAATATCTAAGCATTTTAAGGTAGATTGTGCATGACTGCATGTTATCTACTTTTAAAGGACATGTAATCTTTTTGTTGACCAAAGAAAAAAGGACATGTAATCTTTATATTTAACCATATGTCACAATTGTTTTAAGATGATGAATGGTGTTCACACTTAAGCAAAGTTCCAAAATTCACATTGCAAATAATGTTTAAGCAATACTTAAATATGGAATGAAAAAAAAAAACAACTATAAAAACATATAAGCAGAATTTGGAGTGATTTGTATTAAAATTACAAATCATATGTTATTGAAACTTGTTTAAAATTTGATGTTATTGAACTAGTAATTTGAAAATGTACATCTCCAAATTCATTGTTATTGGAAATATTTTAAGTAATAGATTTTAAGAGATTTGTAGTGATTTTAAGATGTTTTGATGGAGTTTCCTACTTAAAAATATAAAAATTCAAATCTCATAGTTTAATTTAGGATTTAATATAATTTTAATATCAAATCATAACAATTTCTATAGTTCAACCAAATCATCTAAAAACACAATAAAACTCAAAACTTTTCAAATCATTTCAAATGTTAACTTCAATACACCCCTTATTTTAAGGGCTTTAATTTAGCTAGGATTAGTCAAGCTCTTACCTCTTTGTGTATATATATAAGTTACCCACTTTTTCTTCATTCTCACAACAAATAACAATAAAAATTAGAAAGATAAACTATATATCAAAAAGTTAGATATGAAGGTACTGGCGATATGTTTGCTAGTGATTTGCGCCGCTATGATCGTGAAACCTGGAGAAAGTAGAGCCATAGACTATTGTGCAATTGACCCGTGCGCCCGCCCTAATGCTCCTGTAGGATGCAAATCTCCGGGCTCCGAGCATAAAGACCCTACCCCTGTTAACGGTTACAGCCGTGGCTGCACCGAAATTACTCGGTGTAAGCGTGATCCAAACGGAAATGACGTTCATCTAAACTGATATTCATCTCATCATTTATATGAGCTCCGGTGTATTTGCTTTAGATGCTTTTTTTTATTGTTAGCCACAAATATATTCGTATATCCGTGTATTACGTACATACATGGGGTTTTATGTTTTGAATAAAAATAATGACTAGTATTTTTTTACCAAGTTTGTTGATATCTTCTTGATCTACACAGATTTTTGCAAATTTATTCAGTATGCCATAATATATATATATATATATATTTTTATGTGTGTGTGTGTAATTTTAGTATATATTCATGCACACTTTAGGGTTAACGAAGAGGAAATAATGTATTTATAAAAACAATGAAACACGAATGATAGTTTGCGGATGATAATTACAACAATCATCAAGCAGATGTTGACGAGTGCCCGTTAATAATCATCCTAGCAGGAGAGAGTAACCAATAATGCGTTAATTGTTCTCCGCTGAACCTCTGAAGCGTTGCTTATGTATGTTATAACGGATGTGGGAAATAGAAACAAAAAACGTAAAGTAATATACGTGCATGTTATCTTCTTTTAAATGACATGTAGACTTTTAACTGGTGACCATAAAAGTAATAATAAGAATGAATAGGAAAATGAATGAAAGGAACAAAATAATAGGAATTATTGTTCTTTCTTATTTTTTATAGGAAATATATTAACATTATAGTTCCCTAAAACATAAGGAATGAGAAGGAATCATGTGTACAATATATTCCTTTTAAATGGTGTAATTTTTAAGGAATGATAAAGAATTTAGTATTCATTTCCATTCCTTATGGTCACCACATTGACCAATAAAAAGAAGGGACATGTAATCTTTATTTTTATTTTTTAACAGCCTCAAATTCTAATGTAATCTTTATATTTAGCCATATGTCACAATCTTTTTTAAGAGGATGAATGGTGTTCACACTTAAGAAAAGTTCCAAAAATCACTTTGCATATAATGTTTAAGCAATACTAAAAATATGGAATGAAAAAAACACTAAAAAACATATAAGGAAAACTCTTAGTGTATTCAAAGTAAAATTTAATTTGTATTAAAATTACAAATCATCTGTTATTGAAACACAATTTTTTAAAACTTATTTGAAATTCAGTGTTATTGAAAATTATTTAAAAATATTATTTAAAAAACTTATTTGAACATTATTTAAGACCTAAATAGTGATTTGAAAATTTTACATCTTCAAATTCATTATTATTGGAAATATTTTAAATAGTGAATTTAAAAAGATTTGGAGTGATTTTAAGATGTTTTGGTGGAATTTCTTACTTAAAAATATAAAAATCTAAATCTCATGGTTTTATTTAGGTCTTAAAAGAATTTTAATATCAAATCACAAAAACTTCCATAATACAACCAAATCATCTAAAAATACAATAAAACTCAAAACCTTTCAAATCATTTTAAATGTTAACCTCAATACATCCCTTATTTTAAGGGCTTTAATTTAGCTAAGATTTTTTTTTTTTTTGGTCAAGATTAATTTAGCTAAGATTAGTGCAAGCTCTTACCTCTTTGTATATAAGCTACCCACTTTTTCTTCATTCTCACAACACATAACAATAAAAATTAGAACGATAAAGTATATATCAAAAAAGTTAGATATGAAGGTATTGACGATATGTTTGCTAGTGATTTTCGCCGCTATGATCGTGAAACCTGGAGAAAGTAACAAAGTCATAGAATATGGTGCAATTGACCCGTGCGCCCGCCCTAATCCTCCTCCAGGATGCAATCCTCCGGGCTCCGAGCATAAAGACCCTTCCCCTGCTAACAGATACAGCCGTGGCTGCACCAAAAGGAATCGGTGTAAGCGTGACACCGATTAAGTGACGTTCATCTAAACTGATATTCATCTCATGATCTATATGAGCTCCGGTGTATTTGCTTTAGATGCATTTTTTATTGTTAGCCACATATATATTCGTATATCCGTGTATTACATACATGGTGTTTTATGTTTTGAATAAAAATAATGACCAGTATATTTTTTACCAAGTTTGTTGATATCTTCTTGATCTACACAGATTTTAGCACATTTATTCAGTATATATATCAATATATGTGTGTAATTTTAGTATATATTCATGCACACTTTAGGGTTAACGAAAAGGAAATAATGTATTTATAAAAACAAAGAAGCAAGAAAGATAATTTGCGGATGATATTTACAACAATCATCAAGCAGATGTTGACGAGTGCCCGTTAATAATTCTCCTAGCAGGAGAGAGTAACGATTCATGCGTTATTGTTCTCCGCTTTAACCTCTAGAGCGTTGCTTATGTCTGTTATAACGGATGTGGGAAATAGAAATAAAAACGTAAAGTAATATACTCGTGCTATCGCGAAAGCAACGTGCGATTTAAGTTGTAATAGAGAATCCTTGTCTCACTTGCAGCCTCTTCTACGGCCTTTTCTAAGCAACATGTCAAGCATCTTGTACAGGTATCATGCATCATATCACGTACCTTCTCCAGCCATCACACAGTCATCTTGGCAGCCTCTCACCGAGTCCGACAACCCTCATAAGGACAACTTTTGCATTTCCAATGTTCTTATCTGTATTTTCTCTCGTTGATATCTCCTAATTATCAAAAATGGGCTTGCTTACAACAAACCTCAAATACTTACTGTTTCTCTTGGGCTTTTCGTAAACCACAAACCAATAATAAGTAACAATTCCAACCATCTGAATTGGTGAGAGATTGTCAGGAATTTCTTATTAATTTAATAATAATAATTTTTAATATAAATTAATTAATATTTTAATTATAAATTATAAATAAAATTTTAACTAATTATATGAAGAGAACATATGAAATAAGTCTCTCATTTGAGAGATTTTATCTATTTTCTTTTATTTTTTTTAATTTTATTAATATTTAATGTTGAGAGACTTGGTAAAAGACTACTAATGAAGCGAGATGGCCTTACATTCTTCTAACTTAAACCATTATCAAGTGTTTGTGGTTGTATATATATTATATTGGGTTAATTTGCAATCTAACCATATTTATAAAAGAATACAAGAATATAGTTATTATATTCAAAAAATATGAAAAATAATTATACTCTATATTAAAAAGACTAAAAACCCCTTTTGTTTTAAACCGAGAACATATATAAAATATAGTTTTGATTATAGCAAATGATTTTTTTTGGACTATACTATAATATATGATCTTATACGACAAAATTAATATAGTATAATAGTTGAAATTTTAATTATATTTACTATACTATATTAAAGAGAGGAAAAAAGAGAAGACAATAAAAGAGGAGGAGAGGAGGCGAGGAGAAGGGAAGGAAAGGAGAGGAAATGGGATGAGTGGAGATGAGCAGAGGGGAAGTGAGGGGAAAATGATACAAATAGAAGAGAAGATCGAAGGAGAAAAAAAAACAAACAAGGACAATTTTGTATATATTGTTGAATATACAAAAAATATAATAACCTCTATATTGGTATGGTTATTTTCTGAATTATAGGCATTGGTATGGTTATATGAGTCAATTCTCTTATTATATTTATTGTTTTTTTTCTAATATAAAATACAATTTTTTTTTTGATTATTAGAGAAAAGACAATGTTTTTTTTGTTTTGAGCAAAAGAAAAGACAATATTACAAACAAAATCCCTAGTTTTATGGGATTCATGACGTGTGTGCACTTTGAACAAATTACAGCTCATTTAGAAGTTATCACAATAATTATCTAACATGGCCAAGTGGCCAATGCATCGAGCTTGCAAAGTATAATGTATTTTCTGTTAAGATGTGATCTATCTATATAATAAAATAAAATAAACACCACGAAAAGAAATATACATATCAGACTCAAATTGAAAAACGATTATTAGCCTTGTGTTACAAGTAATTAGCTTTTGTCTGCTTAAATTTGAATTATAGATTCATTTCATTGTAAAAACGATTTTTGGTTGGATTAATTTAACAATTTCATTAAAAACGATTGTTAAATATTTTTTAAATAACGCTACGAGGGTTTTCCCTGTTAAAATGATTTGTAATTTTGTCATTACAACTCACGTGTACAAGTTGACTATTGAAGATCTATTCGCAAAAGAAAACAAAAACGACTCACATACATATCGACTATTAAAGATACTTCTAATATTAACTCCTAATCTCTTACGTGGAATAGACTTGAAATAGAATTTTAGTCATGTCTGTCTCTCCCTATTTATGCTCATATATATATAGACTTTTCTCTTTTCTTCCACGTTGCCATTTTCAAATTTCTGGTAATTGATTTTGAAGAATATGGCCGAGGGAATGTTCAAGGCATTGTTGTGGGGCTTTGCGGCAATGGCGTTTGCAATGGCCTCGGGGGCTCGTGGACAGCGAGTGCCTTGCTATTTCGTTTTCGGAGACTCAGTCTTCGACAACGGTAACAACAATGCCTTGAATACCTCCGCCAAAGTTAACTATTCACCTTACGGTATGGATTTTGCTAGAGGTCCTACGGGCCGGTTCAGCAACGGCCGTAATATTCCCGACTTTATCGGTTAGTTCCTGGTTTGATTTCATTCTTTGCCAATATGTGCTCGATGAAATAAGGTTTTTTTTGTCTAGATTGAAGTTTAGAATGTAATCAATGAAAAACATTATAACTAAATAGTTTTATGCAATAGTCATAAATGCACATTACGAGAGTATTTTATTAGATAAGTAAAAATCTTTGTTTTTTGTATCCTATATTTTACTAATATGTGTAATGTCTTCAAGAATCGGTTTCCGGAAGATTAAGAAATAAAAACAAAGTTTGTGAATGATTTTTGCGTGTATCACATTCATAAATAATAAATAATAGATATTATTATATGTTTTCTTGTGTAATATGAGTTTGAATGATTATATTTTTCAGCTGAACTAATGAAATTCGATGATTACATTCCACCATTCACCGGAGCATCGCCGGAACAAGCTCACATCGGAATAAACTACGCATCTGGTGGCGGCGGGATCCTCGAAGAAACTAGCTATCATTTGGTAAGAACGGGACAAATTTAAAACCAATTACCTTAAATATTTTTTAATTCTTTTTTATTCAGTAATTCATTTTCTTAATACTGCATAGTTAAGTAAATTTGAAATTTTCTAAACGTACTACTACAACTTAAAAGACTTTGATTAACTACTAACGGATTTTTCATATTTTCCTGACAATATAGGGTGGTAGAATCAGTTTTAAGAAACAAATAAAGAATCACCGGGAGATGATTATGGCGGCGAAAGTGCCGCAGGAGAAACTGAATAAATGTCTATACACAATAAATATCGGAAGCAATGATTATCTCAACAACTATTTCATGCAAGGTGATCATTACAACACCGTTCGCAAGTACACCTACGGTGAATATGCTGATTCCCTCATTCGACGTTATCGCTCTCATTTAAAGGTAATAGGGGTTTAATGGTATACAGTTTTTTCATGTTTTGAAAGATATCATTTATAATATTAAGTATTAAATGATAAAACGTAAAAATTAACACGCTGTTTTTCAATTTATTTTTCAATTATCCTGCACGTTTTAAATTTAAACTAGTTTTGAGAAAAACATATTCATCTAATAGATACTAACTTTTTAGTATTTTGAGTTTATTCAGTTTTGAGTTTGCCCGTCCTATTGATTCCCCTAATTTATTATTCAGCTATTCCATTGACATACCAGTCAAACTCAAATGAATTTTTAAACCTTCAAATTTGATTACAGATATCCTTTTGACATAACTATTTCTATAAAGTTAATTCATAATCATGTATCTTTAAAAAGATTAATTTAGATACATTTTTTTTGGGTATAGTCACTGTATGTCCTCGGAGCAAGGAAGGTGGCGGTATTTGGGGTCAGTAAACTCGGGTGCACGCCGAGGATGATCGCCTCCCATGGTGGCGGTACAGGCTGCGCCGCTGATGTTAACAGTGCGGTTGAAATTTTCAACTGGAAGCTCAAAGCTCTGGTCAGAGAGTTCAACACAAACTTAGCCGATGCTAAGTTCACTTACGTCGATCTCTTCACCGGCCAAACTACTCTTGCGTATGCTGCCTTAGGTAAGTCCTCTTACAGGAGAGTTCTTGAAATATCACACTTAAAGTTTCCAAAAATACTAAAAACTTTTTTGGAAAGGTTTTGATCATTCTTTTTTTTTTGATCAAAGGTTTTGATCAGTTAGATCATTTATTTTGCATAGTATTACAATTGCAGTAATATCACAAATGCTAATTTTCAATTCTGTTAAATTAATCGTGCATATATATTATTATTTTGTAGGGTTTGCGGTAACACAAAAGAGTTGCTGCACGGTAGAATCAGGGGAAGAACTATGTGCGGCGAATAAACCGGTTTGTGCGTTTCGAAGACGGTATGTGTATTGGGACAATGTCCACAGCACTGAGATAGCCAACATGTTTGCGGCAAAGGCTGCGTTCGCCGGAGTCATTGCTTTTCCTTACGGCCTTGCTCTACTTGGAAAATTATAGGGACTATATATACATTCTTTATTTTTTTTAATTCAACCAGAAAAATTTGTTGAAAATGGTGAACATTAGCCTGTGAGCAAATATATATGTCCATCACTTAATTGTTAGAAAATGTAATCGGCAATTTAAGTCAGATATACATATGGCTGACTTTAGTTTTTATTTTTGACAAAAATAAAATCAAATTATCTAAGATAATTGTTGCTTGAAAGCCTTCCAAATTAATTCAGCAAAAACAAAAATCGACCAATGTGCCAGCGTAATTAATTATTATTATCTTTTTGAATATTCTGCCTTGGTTTTCAAACTATATATTCGAGTGAAATCCTAATCGAAAGATCCACAAAGAAGTTCTCTCTAATTTAATTAATGGTGATGCTGAAGACACTGAATTAAGATGAAGCCAGACGATATGATTCGTACGGATTTTCAACAAGAAACTAAATACAGTCTATGTCACCAATACAAATGATTATGTGACAAGAGATTATCAATGATGATGACACGTGGGTTGGTTGTGAAGGTTGGTACAGACAAAGAAAACACCTATTGATGGTGACTTGTTTTTATTGATTCGGCCGATGAGTGGCCAAGTTGATTTCGTATTAGCTAGCCTCTAGCGTAATTGCTAGTTTCTTGGAACCCAAGAATCATGATGAAGATTGGGATATGAACTTCAAACAGATCTATCATGACTTTTCTCATTTTCCCAAAGAAGTCGATTAATCAAGGTATTCAAACTCGTTCTTCTTGTTCGTTGTTGGGCATGCAATCTCAATCGTTACCAGTGTTGCTTCCTTTAGGTTTATACTATATAGTTAGTACTATTTATAGGTTAATGTATGTAATAATAATACACATAACAAAAGGATTTAGACTTTTCGGTTCAGGGTTTCAATCCGAAAATTTGTCTCAATTTTGTTTTGTTTATTATATTTTTCTAAGAAACAGTTAGGAAATTAGTCATTCAATTTCAGGAAAGATCGTGTTTCAAATTCGTTCGTTTTCTAAACCCCTCCAAAAACACAAGGGTGATATCATATGCTATTTATCCGATATTTTAAATGATATAATATTTCACTTGTTAACTGTTTTTGTCAAATATATGATTATTGTTATCTAATGCAACTGGTTTTCTTTTACTAATCTCATTGTTTTAACCTTTCTTAATCTCATGTTTCACGTAAAAATAAGAAAAATACGAGGTTTCTTATTTTGATATAAAGCCAGTAAAGGGATATACGATACCCCACATTATATAACTATTTTATGGAGTGCAAATAGAACTAGCTATGATCAAATAAATAAATAAATAAACTGAAAGAAATTCCAAAAACCAAATTCGTATTCTAAAAAGTTAAGGTTGCTGTATCGAGTGTTTGCCAAAGAAAAGCGGTCGTATTGAGTCCAACAACCAACCGGCAAGTGATATCTTGTCTACGTGAAGTTCACGTGCATAGTGCATAGTGCACATTGCCCTTTCGTGTATTATATAAGAACATAATTGTTTTGGATTGCTTTCTCCATCATAATGCAAATGATATTTATGTGATGGACTCGACGTAAATATATTTTGCATTATGATGGAGAAAGATAATGTTACAAACAAATATCTTTTGCAAACTCCCTACGTTTGAAAATATATTTTCTCCCAAATGATTTTCCACCTTTTTTTCTGGAGAATGAAATCACTAAAGTTGTCTACCTGGATCTCTTGCTATTTAAATTAATTAACTCTTCTTTTTTACTAGAAAATTTAGATTCTCTGAATTCACAATATCCACATAGATTTAAACAAGTTTATGATTATTTTGGGTTGGACTTACGAAACAAAAAATTATCCTTCTTCAAACTTAACGTAACATTTAAAAGTGAAACAAAATCTTTAGTCTGATCCGGCCGGTCTTTTTTTTTTCTGTGTGTGCTAGATCTGATCCGATCTTAAACAAATTATAGAAGCTTGAATATGCTATGCAATTTTATAAATTATTATTTCTGTTATTTTTTTACCAAAATGAAAAATCTGTTTGTGGTCTTCGAAAGAATTGATAAATATTTGTTTAAGTTTTTTTTTCTTCCCCATTAGAGTTCTGGGTTCAATTAATACACGTTTTTGAAGGTAGAACCACAAAAAAAAAAGATGGAGATTGGAATCACCAAAATTGTTTTACATAAAAACAAAAAACTTGATTATGTTTGTCTTTCTTTTTGACAAGCATGATTAGGTTTGTCACTCAAGACTATAAGTGATGTAGTAGTGGTAGCTATATACATCACCGTATAAGTAACAGAAAAAATAATTTAGATTTTAAATTAATTGTAGAAGATTTAAGTTTTAGGTCTATCTCTCTTAGTATCCGAAGCTAACTTGTTTTTATATTCCAATTTTAAAAATAGATCTCTAGTGCACAACCATTTTAATACAAAATATATATTTTGCCGTCAAAATTAAATATAATCACCCTAGTCAAAACTCAAAAGTCAAAACCAAGAAGAAAGAGAAATAAAAGTTGCCTATTACATGAAAAAATAAGAAGCAAAATTTGCACCGCCAAAATAGTACGTTTGAAAAGAGGATTTGAGGCAACTTTTACAAAAAAAAAAAAAAAAAAAAAAAAAAAAAAGCCAGGATTTGAAGCAAATAACTCGCTTTTATTTGAAAAAGAAATATGTGCGTCACAGCACAGATATTCCAAATACGATCAAGTATTATTATATGTATATAAATAATGTACGGAACTTTTATTTTGCAAAAGCCCAAGAATAAAACCTCATAGTCATTGACCAACTATCTTCGCGAAAAGAAAGTAAACTATGTTAACCCTTTTATTCATTCTTTCTTCATTAGTGTCAAATACTATATCTTAAAACTATTATAATCTAGTTTATCGATCCTAGGTTATGAGTGGTCTAAATAGGTTTTATTACCAGCATTAAAGTATAATTTGGTTCGAAAAGAGACGAATAAACTATTTTGAGGAAACATATCAAAAATCTCACGTTGGAAATTATATTGGAACCTAAGTAAAATAAAAGTATAGTCATGCAAAAGTTTCTAAACGTTTTTCAAACTATATGGTTAGTTTGCATAACCAATTTAACTTCAAAAATATCAAGATCAGATTGTAAGGTCCACAAAACCGTATGTTCCAACATAACCCACTCATATACTGAATAAATCCATCGTCTCTACCGATGATGAATCTTTGAACTGAAAGGAGACAAGAAAACAATACATCAGATATTTTCAACCATAATGGGAGGCTACTCGGTCACATTTCACAAGTGGGCTTTGTTTTTGGTTTCTTTCGTTGAAAGGTCCCGAATCAATACTGTCTCTTATCTCTTTGTCTCTCACTCCCATATAATCATTTGAACCTTCACTATAAATACCCTTTAAACATCACGCAATCATCAATACACCATGAAGCACCCCTACAATAATAAAAATCCATAACAAAAACTTGTTATATATACACACATGACACATTTAACAATGAGGGAGAAGTCAGAGGAGAAGGCAGTGAAGAATTGGGAGAAGAAGAAGAAGAAGTCTTCCTCACCAAAAGGAGTTGGGAAGTTTTTGAAAAAGAAGAAAGGAAAGTTCTACATTATTGGAAAATGTATTACCATGCTTTTTTGTTCACACAAGTGATCATCGACATCAAGACACACGTTGATAGAGCCATGGAGGTATGAAAAGGAGAGAGAGCATGCATCTTTAGCTTTTCCGGTGTTTTTCTCTCATTTTATACGGGTGTGTTCTCGTTGTTATATATATATATATATATATATATTTTATTTTTTTAGAACGGGTTGTTGTTATATATTTCACTCAATAGTTTTCTTGTCAATTATACATGTATGTAGAATGTTTATAATGAACTTCGTATATCATATCTGTAGAATCTATATTATAAATCAATGGGGGGATAAAAAAAATATAATGCAACAAAGGGTAGTTTATATTTTTATTTTTAGTAGGAACTTTAAAAATTTTATATTATACATTTTCTGTTTTTTTTTCTAAATGACTAAAGAGACATACTGTAAAAACTCTATAAATTAATATTCAATAAATTAATAAACTTTTTAAATTAATAAATTTCTCCGATTCTGAGTTGGACCAGTTCAAAATATATTATAAATCGATAAATTAATAAGATAATAATTTTTATTTAAGAAATTAATGTAAATATACAGTCCTATTTATATCATAAATTAATAATTAGCATATAATAAATTTATATAAATATATAACTATGATAATTTACTAAAATATGAATATATTGTTGTTTATTTTTATTAAAATTAATTTATTGTTACAATTTATCTATAATTTATAAAAAAAAATTCAGAAATTATCATAACTTTTTTAAAAAATATTTTAATTATTTAATTATTTATAATTTATTTTATTTAAATTAATAAAATAATAACTCTATAAATTAATAAAATATCAAAGTTTCACCATTATTAATTTATAGACTTTCTATTGTATATCTACAGACTCGCAAAAATTATAAAGAATGCGAAATACAACAGAACAATAAAATCAAGAAAAAAAAGAAGCTTTACAGATAAAGACATGCAGGAGAAGTGTCTTACCGTACGATCTATAGTTTGGCGGATTGCGGCTGCTGGTGATGGCATTCGTCGGAAAATATCCTCGAATTTTGCTCCAAAAGTATTCTGCGGTTGACTTTGGACCAAGAAACGGCAGAGGAAAAAAAATCAAAATCAAAATAACACGTTTGGTGAAATAGTTTTTTGTATCATGATTATTTACATACACACAAAAATATTTTATTCAACACAACAAATTTTCACACACAAATAAACATGCAATTGAATTACCCTGTTTTGGTTTGTAAGACTTCACTCTGTACAGTCTGGTTTTTGTATCCACTGATAGATCGTTCTTTTTTTTTTTTCCGACACCGCCAACACGTTTATGATGAACCGGAGAACAATTAACGCATGACTCGTTACTCTCTCCTGCTAGGATGATTATTAATGGGCACTCGTCAACATCTTCTTGATGATTGTTGTAAATATCATCCGCAAATTATCTTTCTTGCTTCTTTGTTTTATAAATGTATTATTTGCTGTTCGTTAACCTAAAGTGTACATATATATATATATGGCATACTGAATAAATTTGCTAAAATCTGTGTAGATCAAGAAGATATCAACAAACTTGGTAAACAAATACTACTCATTATTTTTATTCAAAACATAAAACACCATGTATGTAATACACGGATATACGAATATAGTTGTGGCTAACAATAAAATATGCATCTAAAGCAAATACACCGGAGCTCATATAGATGAGATGAATATCAGATTAGATTAATGTCGTTTCGGGTTGGTTCACGCTTACACCGATTAATTTTGGTGCAGCCACGGCTGTATCTGTTAGCAGGGGAAGGGTCTTTATGCTCGGAGCCCGGAGGATTGCATCCTGGAGGAGGATTAGGGCGGGCGCACGGGTTAATTGCACCATATTCTATGACTCTACTTTCTCCAGGTTTCACGACCATAGCGGCGCAGATCACTAGCAAACATATCGCCAATACCTTCATATCTAACCTTTTTGATATATAGTTTATCTTTCTAATTTTTTATTGTTATGTGTTGTGAGAATGAAGAAAAAGTGGGTAGCTTATATACAAAGAGGTAAGAGCTTGCACAAACGCTTAGCTAAATTAAAGCCCTTAAAATAAGGGGTGTATTGAAGTTAACATTTGAAATGATTTGAAAAGTTTTGAGTTTTATTGTGTTTTTAGATGATTTAGTTTAATTATGGAAGTTGTTATGATTTGATATTAAAACTCTTTCAAATCCTAAATAAAACCATGAAATTTGGATTCTTATATTTTTAACTAAAAAACCATACCAAAACATCTTAAAATCACTGTAAATCTCTTTACATTCATTATGTAAAAAAATTTCAATACATTTTCAAATCACTAGTTAAATAACACTGAATTTTAAACAAGTTTTAAAATATATGTTTCAATAATGGATGATTTGTAATTTTAATACAAAACACTCTAAATTCTATTTTGTATACACTAATAAGAGTTTTGCTAATATGTTTTTTCGTTGTTTTTTTTTTCATTCCATATTTTAGTATTGCTTAAACATTATTTGCAAAGTGATTTTTGAAACTTTGCTTAAGTGTGAACACCATTCATCCTCTTAAAAAAATTGTGACATGGCTAAATATAAGGATTATATTCTTTCTTTGGTCAACGAAAAGATTTCATGTCCTTTAAAAGAAGATAACATGCACATTCTAGCTTAAATTGCTTAGATATTCTATGATCGTCTTTTATAAATTCATACTCACATAAAGCAAATGTGATACGCTAGTTAAAAATGATGACTTCTTTAAAGGGAAGCACATTTTAAAAATATTCCAAAGCTATCATAGTATTCAAAAGGCAATATAATGATAGCTTAAGTAATATTCAAAAGCTATCATTGTATTCACCACCAGTAAATACAATGATAGAACAATCTAGCTGGTGATGCATTGCCAAGCCAACTTCATTGTCGGATCATACCAAATGTTGCTGAGGACCAGGTCATCTTAGGGTTATATACATACACTCAAATATTCATATGTTCTATACCATTTTTGTTTTGTTTTAGGAAGCACAACAATATAAAGTTTATATTTGTATAAATTTATTATTACAATTCAAGAACCACAACAATAGTAGTAGAATCTCTACTCGAATCCTTATTCAAATGAAAATGAAAATTGCATAAACATATGAATATTTGTGTGTATGTATATAACCCTAGATATCTTCATAAAAGTGTTTCTTGAAGGCCTCCATGTGAGCCACCTGTAGACACGTGGCGAGAACCAGTGAGCCGTCTTCATTTTGATCCGGCAATAGCAGCGAGTCCCCGTCGCAGTAATGCGTCCCTGGTCCCATGTAGACCTCCTTGCCCCATCCGAAATCAAGGCCGTACATCGGCAGAGTTAACCAACTCACCAGTCCAAGGTTAGGGTTTCCGTAGAATGGACCTTCCGTGCTTCCCAAAGCATGAAGATCTTGTAACTTTTTGAGATCTTCTTGATTCTTTAGATACTGTATCCCAACCATCACGTATTCGTTTGTCAGATTCTTTATGGCTTTACTGATTTTTCCCGACGCGAAACCCAACTCATTCGATATCAGTTCACCTATATGCATAGCAAATTTATCGATTATATAGTAGGATCCCTACCTACTCGTATGGAAAAAGAAAGAAAAAAATATATATAGTAACCTACCTAAAATTTCAAGAATCGGAAAAAAATAAAATTGTTCTGACTTTACGTGCATGAGAAGCAACCAAGAGATCTTCCATCCAAATTGAATTCTTACTGTAAATGTTCAAGATGTTTTATAATTTCTAAATGTCCAAGTAATGATTTTTGTTTTAATATAGTCTCCGATTAGATTGGTTGAAATGATTACTACTTTGCAACTAACCCTATGTATCTAAATTTGGTCCAAAAAACAAAAAAAACTAACCATATGTGTTTGAAAATACCCCCTAGAAGAAGTTTGTGTACTCCTTAAACCTAAAATCTTGGACTTCTTTTTATAAGTTTTAAGTAGGAGCGAATTAGATAGTTTTAATCGTAATTACATTAAACTCATATAGAAAAAACAATATAAATCTTTCTTAAACAAAAATACGTACACAAATCGCAGCTTAAAAAAAATAGAAATCTCTAACTATAACCAAAACTGAAAATTTGAGAAAAATCGTACCTGAGGTGCTTGCTGCGACCACATCAAGAGTGGCATTGCCGAAGTAGCCACGTGGCAGAGGTGGCTCCACCCGACGACGAATATCTGTACAGATTCCCAGAGCTGTGGGTTGCTCCGGCGAGTGCCCACGTGCTTTACACGCGCACCTCCACACGTGTCCCGCGACGGTCTCATACCTTGTAAACCCTCTCGCTGGATCAGCGAATTCGCTTGTATTCACTCTGCTTCTAAGCTTCTCAAGCTGAGGTTTGCTCAGTTTCAGCATCGCCACGGTTGTTTTCTTTTTTCTTTCTTCTACGTTGTCCGTTTCTCCGATCAGGAACGGCGGCTGTTCAAACTCTTTGTGGTCGAACTGAGGTGGAGAGGCAAACGGCGGAAGCGGCTCACCAGCCCAAAGGATTTTCCGATCAAGAAATGGAATTGTTTTTAGCGGTTCGCCTCGCGCGATTCTTCCCCATTCCGATAAGAAGTGAAGCGCGCTTTGCCCATCGACCACCGCGTGTGAAACGTTGACGCCGAGACTTAGTCCACCGCAGTTGAATTTGGTGACCTGTGCTAAAAGGAGAGGGATCGTTTCGATAGGGCTTTTGTAGTTTACTTGCGGTATAAGTTTCTCAAATTCCGGCGTCGGAGTGAAATCGTTGAAATCCGAAAGCTTCGCCTCGGATTCCGCTTGGATCAATGTCACTCCCGCGGCATTGCAATCGAGCTCTAACCGGCCCCGAGGGAGCCACCGGAGACGGCCGGCCATAGGGTAAAAATGGAAAAGCGCACGGCTCAATGAGTTTTTTAGGGTTTCTACTACATCGCCTTGGAATGATTCAGATGGCTTGTCGTAGAAGTAAATGGTGGGAACGTGAGTTATTGTACCAACTTGATCCCATTCGGCTAATGGAAACCGACCGGTCCATGCTGGTTCAGCCGGTACTACGGTGTAAGTATTTCTTAAGATAATGGGAGCCATATCATAAACCGGTGGCTCTCTTTTTGAGTTTCGTCGTAATTAAAGTACCATTAATATTGAACCGTATGAGTTTATCATAATCTTATAGCACTTAACTAAAGTGTATTTCTCGTGATTTAGTCTGTTTCCTTGTAAACAGCTTGTTTAATGGAAGTGATAATAATAAGGTTTCGTTTTGTTGGTTTTACATGAACATGCTTATTGTCCTTTTTCTTAATTTCATTCACACAGTCGATTGATATTTGTCTACTTAAACCAATAAATTTACATTTACAATGAAATAATCTAATATATATGGCTTATGAATAAATATTGTTTTAGTTAATACAAAGATAGTAGTTCTTTGTTTGTTGGTTTCACTTCACAAAAATTTGAGCAATCTGAAAGAACAGGAACCATCTTTGGTTAGTGAACAACAAAGAAAGTAATCAATAGTTTGGGCCTTATTGTAGAGTATATGGGCCATATAAAGCCCAAAGTGGATGGTGGATTTAATATTAAACCCTAGTTTAAACCCGACCGACTAAGCCGGATCCGGACCCGACTGAATCATCTCTTCTCGCCTCGTCTCTCTCAATTGACGATTAGACTTTCAAGTACACCAAAAAAAAAGCAGAGCTCTAACACGATAATAATGGAAGGCGATCAAGAGACGACGGGTTTCACTCTGGTCACGAGGAAGCCTAACTTCGACCTCCCAACAGCTTGCCCTAATTGCCTTCCCGCTTACATATACCTGAAGCTAGCCCAGCTTCCTTTTGAACTGGCGTTCAATTCGACTTTCCCTGATTCAGGTTTCTCTCTTGATTCTTAACGTTTCGATTCCTATTTCTGTAATTGAGCTCGATGTGCTTGGTTTGCGTGATCTGTGTCTGTGTTTGAATTGTAATGCTGTTAGCTTGATTTTGAGATACGAATCCTAGACCCGATACTGATACAGTTTCATTTCTCGATTCGAATTCGTACCGTCAAACTCTTGCTCGTTGGTCAATCGAAGTTAAAAATTGGGTTATACGCTATAGTAATTGCTGTTTTGAGGTTTGATGGATTCGTTCTGAGAGAGAGAAGATACATTGGTGAATTATCTGGATACGAAAGGCTCAAATTTTATGGCTTTGATGAAAATGCTCGTTAACGTACTTGTTAAATCTTGACGAAATTATAAGAGAATAATGCTGTTTTGTTCCAGTACTTGTATGAGAATTTTATACTTATTCGTTTAATTCAGCTACTGAGTTTGTATATTAAAGACATCTTCAGAAATTATGTGTAATGGTGGATACTAATTCACAGAAACTTTATGTTCGGATTGTGATTTTTTAGATATGTTATCAAATTGTGATTTTTGTGAGTGTATTTTATATAGATGAACTTCCGTACTTTGAGAATGGTACATATGTTGCATACAACAATGAAGATGGAGGAGTTATTGAGAAACTAAAGAAAGATGGGATTATCAATCTGGACTCTCCGCTCCAGTCTCTCCCGGATTATCTAGCCTTGAAGGCTCTTATTGTTTCTTGGCTAGAAGAAGCTCTTACCTATGAACTATGGGTTGGTACAGAGGGAATATCAGCACCGAAGATCTACTACTCAGATCTTCCTTGGGCGATTGGTAAGGTCCTGTTCTATAAGCAGACATACATGGCCAGGAACCGGTTAGGAATCACCAAAGAAAACGCAGAGCAAAGAGAGAAACAGGTAAGCTTTGTGTCTTTTGTATGGATATAAGCTTCGTTGTTAAACTTGAGAACATTTAGAACTTGGTACTAAAGTTCAAAGGGTCTTAAATGAACAGATATACAAGAGAGCAACTGAGGCATATGAAGCCTTGTCGAGTAGGTTAGGCGAGCAGAAGTTTCTCTTTGAAGAGAGGTATTGCAATCTCATTGGCCTAACTTGATTGTTATCTTTTGATAAGCCTTTTCGTAAAAGATTCATCATGTTTCTCTTATGCTCTCTTACCAACAGGCCTTCGAGTTTGGATGCTTTCTTTCTCTCACACATACTCTTTACAATCCAAGTATTACCGGTAAGCAGCTTTACAAACTGGTTTATCGTGTAGAATCTTAGGCTGTAATTAACTAGTTTCGTTATGGTGCAATGATCAGGAAACATCAGTGCTTCGGTGCAAACTTATGGAACATAGCAATCTTGTCAGATATGCTGAGAAGCTAAAGTCGGAGTTCCTCGAAGCCTCTTCTTCATCTCCTTCGCCTCCGCTTCACTCATTCCCTTCTTCATTTTCAAGAAAGAGTAAGACACATCCCAAACCTTACAACTTCCATATCATGCATCTGTAAAGCTTAATACATTTCATCTTGTTGTTTAGGTTCGAAGCCAAAGAGCAAACCAAAGACGGAGAAAACCGAAGAGGAGAAGAAATTCAAGAAGAGAGCAAGATTCTTTCTAGCTGCTCAGTTTCTAGCCGTGGTCATCTACTTATCCGTGATGGGAGGAGGTAGCTCCAATGAACTGGAGTATGAAGATGAAGATTACTGAAACTAAAGCTTCTCTTGTTAATTTGGACCTGTAAAACTCAGGCAAACTCTTTAACCTCATCTTCCTAAGTAAGAAAAAAGAACCAACCATCTCTGTTTTTATTCATAAATTCTTTAGTTAGAGAGAGAGGTTACAAATCTGAGATTAGTCACATTATAACTCTTTTCGTTCTGAAGGAGATTCTATTGGCTTTTAATTGGTTATGAGTCTTATGACAATGCATTAGCAGGTTGCGACATCAAGAGAACCGGCTAACCGGAGAAAATACCAAAGTCCGGTATGCTCAAAATCAACTGAACTAAACTCGATTTGTCTTACTAATGATACAAATCTCTCATCCATCTAAAAAACTATCTTCTGATAGCAAAAGATGGTGCCTATCTAATTTCTAAACCCTCTAAAACCAAAATAAGCTAAACAACAATTAGGAATTCAAATTTACATCCGGACGCTGCTCCGATGTGGTTGCGTCGTCGTCCTCCGGTTGGTTAACAAGCTTGGAGTGCTCATCAGCCGAGTTGATAGCAAACTCAGCGAGTGAACTCACTGCAACAGACATTCCATGGCAGAGAACTTTAACAGCAACCTCTGCGAGTTTCTCAGCAGTCATCACAACATCTTCGTCTAACTTATCAGCCAACACAAGGTCCATGCTTTCTGACCCGGAATATCTTCTTGACCCGCTTCCGCTCCAGTTCGGATCTTCCCTTACCTGTCTTGCGTAGACCGAACCCATCCCGGAGGCAAAGAAGTCGAGTTTGTCCAAAACCGGTTTCTCGTTCAGGCTGTTGAGTAGCCTCGACCACTGGATGCAGACTCTGTATATTGGGTGTGGACATGACGATAATCTGACTTTCTCAGGGTCGGGATCACATCTGAAACATCTGAGAAGCCAACCGGATAATGCTGTCATGTAGGATCTTTGAGATGTGATCCAGAACTCGAAGCAGGCTCTCCAGTTTCGAAGCTGAGCTTCGAGGTGCAAAGCAGATTGAGCTAATCTTTGAGAGTTGATGGTCTCTGGCATTATTTGAGGTTGTCTCTTCTTGTGACGCTTTGAAACCTGTGTCCCTGCGAGTAACATTTTGGCTTCGTCTAGTGTTCGTTTCTGTATCTGATGACTCTCTGCCATCACTTGCCACATCCTCGTTAACCTTTTATGATGATTACTATTTGTTAATCTGAGGGTTATTAAAAGAGAAACCAAAGAGACAGAAGAAGAAGAAGCTGTTGTTGGTGTGTTACCCTTGAACGAGCTCGAGAAGCTGAGGCAACAGTTCTTGATCGCGAAGAGTCTCGATTCTCTTGGAGATGGATTCAATCGAGTGTATAGAGACCTTGATCTGTGTGTCTAGATCTCTGATCGTAGCTCTCGTTTTATCAACCGAAAACGGATCATCTCCTTTAACGTCTTGATTCCTCAGCTGCATACATTTCTTCTCGTATGCTCTCCGAACTCGTTCTCCAGACTGTTGCAAACACGAGAAAGGCCGTTCGTTTATGAACAACAGAGATAAAGAAAACAAAGACTTGGATAGTCATTACTTTGCTGAGATCTCTTGTTACTTACTCTAACTTCATCGTAGAGTTTCTTCTCCCACGCGAAGAGTCTGTCCAATGTTGTTTGGTGGCTACCCGAAATCATGCAAGACTCATCTGAAACATCGCTTCTGCTTTCAGACCCACTCTCCTTCGAGCCACCAGAGGAAGTGATCAAGAACCTTGAAGACGAAGTTCTTGACGAACCAGACCGGAACAAAGCTACTGGATTCAGCATTTTCATAGCTACAAAACACACAAAAAGAACAACTTCATTCAACATTCGTTTTGAAGAGAAAGACTGCAACAGTTTCATGAACTTACCACTATGTTCATTAGATGACGGTGCGTACTGAGCTCTACTAGCTTCTAACAGTCCCGAGACTTCCTTAGCCGCGTCACAAATGGTTGTGAACTGATCTTCAAGATCTTTGATTACCTCTGCCATGCTCGTTGGTCTCCGGTTCACATACACGGTGAAACCAGGCGTCTCTCTTTTGGCAACATTCACAACATTCTTCATCTCTTCAACCTTCCCAACACCAACAACATTACCTGTAGTCTCTACTCTAGGCACCTCAACTGTACGCTGTTCTTGCGTTCCAACGCATTTCTCATCTCCCTCGTTCTCAGTTTCACACCCGCTGTCTGTAAACTCCCCATCATCCTCATCATTATCCTCATCATCATCATCTTCGTCATCATCATCATCATCATTCTCATCAACATCTTCGACTTTAACTTCCTCCTTGCAACAACTCTTATCCACTTTACCTCTACTCTCTTCCGTTTGTTTCGGATTATGATTCTGAAACCTCACAGGTTGATGCTCATTAGGTTCATCTTCTTCCAAATCTGGAATCCCTTCTTCCTCTCTAACACGTCTCAATCCTCTAATCTCATCATCCATACCATTCCTATTATCAACACTTCCTCTATCGTCACTATATCCGTAATAATCCAAAGACGAAAACGGATTCCAGAAGAAATCCCACTGAGAGTTCTGAGGAGAAGGAGGAGGAATGTTATGACTGCTTAATCTTTGCTCAGGAGAGCTCAACGGATTCCAAAACGAAGAGGAAGAAGCTGCAGAAGTGTTCATATTCATATTCATGTTCATGTTCATGTTCATTCCAAAGAACCCATCTGCTTCTCCGAATTGGTGACTCGGAGTTGAAAATGTCTCAACACGAAACGTTTCAGGAGATCTCTGTTCGACTCGAACCGGTCTGCTTCTGTTAGCCATCATGTAGTTCACTTTCACCTTCGATCTCGGCTTATCTTGAATCATTTTTGCAGGATGTGGAGGCATCGAAGAAGGAGAAATCGTGATGAACTCGCCGCCGCCGCCGCTCCTGCTGCTACTACGGCGGCTATGTGGTCTTCTCTTAACCGGAGTAACAAACGAGTCGTGACTCGGAACAAACTCGTGAGGCTTATAGTTGTCTCCTTCGATATAGTCATGGAGAGCATCAGAGACTTTCCTAAGAGACTGGATATAAGCAATGTGACCAGAAGCGAACTTAGTTCTATGTTCTATTGCCTGTTTGATGAAACGTTTCCTGTCTTTACAGATCTGAACAGCTTCCTCATCGTCTAGCTTCGAATGAGAACATCCCATTTCTCTGCTTCTGCTTCTTTTTAAGCTTCAAATCCACAGATCAAGACCTCACATAAGTAGACAGTGAAACGATTGAAACAGCTGACGACAAAGTAAATGGGACATAGCTACTTCTTTAACTCAACATTAAATGAGAAAAAGACATTGTCTGAATAAGATACTTTGCTTAATTTCCAAGACACTGTCTTTCAACTCTTAAACCCTCTTCAAGAAAATCTAAAACCCATGTACAGATTTGTGCTTATTTCCTAAAAAAAAGGTGAATTTTTCTGAAATCCGACAGAAACCCAGATGAGAAACAGTGGAAAATCTTGGATTTGTTGTGAAATGTTAAAAAAAAGTTAAGTGAACAAACCCAGAAAAGAAATTAAGAAGAGAGAGAAGACAAACAAAACAAAAAACCCTAATAGGTCAAAAGAAGCTGGAGGAGCGTGAGGATTACTGTAGAGAAGAGACGTTGGAGAACGCAACGGTCAAAATTACTGTCGGACTTGGAAGAAGAGAGAGAGAGAGAGAGAGTGAGAGAAGTCAAGAAGGAGAAGAAGACAGATGCAAAAAAAACAAAAAAAAAACAACATAAAAACAAGAGACAATAATAATAATAATCATCATATTAACCAATTCATAAAAAGAAAAGAAAAAGTAAATGGAAAATGGAGGTGGTAGGATAGCTAAACTAATTTAAAGCTACGAATAATATTGCTCAGAAGAGACTGGACACGAAATACGACTTCCTATTTTGTTTTTCACCCTGGCTTTCCTCATGTATTTACGGTATTGCCATTTCTGTCTTCTTTATATTTTTTGTTCTTGCACTTTATATAAATTTAATTCAATTTCAGATCCCATTGATAATGAATTATTTTATTTATTATACATGTTATAGAATATAATTTATCAGAACTCTATTGTTATACATGTTATGTACTTATATTTGCAAGTGGGATTGTGTTTTGTGTAAAATGAAGGAATGATTCCTCATTATACAAAGCATGGGTATTTGCGTAATTTCAGTGGCATCTGCAGTGGGAAAATACGTTGGAAGAATTTAGGAAAAGCAATAAAAAGAAAGGACCGGCCTGTAAAGTAAAAGGCATGATTTGGACCCACATTCTAAAAGATTATCATGAAGTGCCTCGATACCTGAGATTTCTGTTCCTGTCCATCATTCTTTCACTTAATCACGAAAACACCATTAGGTTTCAGAAGTTGTTGTTTTTAGTACTAGACCAACGTTTAGACTCATATCTGGCCCAATGGATTTCTATTTTAATACATTAGATTATTTAAACTGGCCCATAACATTGTTTGTTTTTGATGTAAACCTGTAGTTTAGTTCTGTCCCAATGTGTTTCATGGGCCGCCCAAGAGTATCCACCAAATGGATTTGTTTTATTAGACCCAATGGACTTCAATCGTAATACATTAGATTATAATACTGGCCCATAACATTGTTTGTTTTTGCTTAAAGCCCGTTGTTTAGTTCATTCCCAATCTGTTTCACTTTCAATTATTATTACGATATACTCTTTTTCTTAGCAACTTAATATATTGATAAAGGGGTTAGGCCCATGGGCTTCAGCCCAGTACAGAAGGAAAATGATTGAGGGCAGCTTTTTGCTAGAGCATCAGCTTATATGATAGAGAGTAACAAAATTTATATTTCAATCATTGTGTATTTGACCTAGTTTGACACAACATGTCTTCAATTTCTACAGTGACGCGATTGCCACAATTTTACTTAAACCAATAACATGATATCGTGTGATTGGGTCTCGTCGTCTAACAATTATGCCTAAGTTATGCGATTTTTTTTTACCAATAAGTTAGGCGATATTGCAGATCATTCTTTTGTGTGTGTGGTAAAGCCTGCGCTCGCTATATGATATAGTGTAATCATCTCATAATACAAGACTATTGTTGGAACAATTTTTAAGTCAATGGGCTAAGGAAAAAATTAGAACAAGAGTGAAAACAATGGGCCGATTTTAGGCTCAAGAAAAATGAGAAGTGTAAATGTGGGAATTGTTAAATGTCCCACATCGAAAATATCCTATAGAGAAAGAGTATTGCTAGTGTTTAACTAGCAACTACCCATTGAGTGCACGAGAAAGAGAGAAAAAATGAATCGAGCGCTGCCATCGCCACCAAGCTAAGCAGAGCCGAGTCAGATGCGGGTCGTGTTGGTCGAATGGGTCTTCGGGCCGAAGGTGACTATTTTTTTTGGGCTGAATTTTGATAATTATTTTTGGATCCAATCTTTAAACAAAATTGTTAAAAGTCTTATTCCAATATAAAATCAATCAAACCTGGTTTTAATCCAAAACTTATGAATCTTTGACTCATAAAGTTTGCGAATTTTTTGCCCAACAATCTCTCCTTTTGTGTGGGTTACGCCTGTGTCTTTATTGAGAATATTCTCAAATGGCTCCTCCTCTTGGCTATAAAAGAAAGCCTTCACTCTCATTCTAAAACACAACTTTCTCACAGCAAAATATCTTTCACTGAAAAGTGTTCTTCTTCTAGCTATCCTTATGTTCAAAGTAAGTCTCGAGAGTTTAAGTAGAATTTTTAAGTTCATATATTCCGTTCCTCAGCTGCTGCGAAACGGTCTCCCATCGGTTGTATCATAGAATTCTAAATCGTACAGAACCATATCACTACGAGTGATTTTTTTAGTTAAGAAAAAAAATCAAATTCTCGACTCCGATTTTTGTTTATTGTTTAAAACGTGTTTTCTAAAGTCTCGTTTCTACTCTTTCTTCTTACAATATTATTGTCTATAATTGTTTATATATTACAACATTTAAATTTGGTTTTTGCGGTTCCTACGGGCGATTTTTTGAGTTAAGATTGTAGAAATTGCAAAAACCGAATTTAAATATTGCGATATATAAATAATTACAGACGATAATATTGTAAGAAGAAAGAGTAGAAACGAGACTTTAGAAAACACGTTTTCAACAATAAACAAAAATCGGAGTCGGGAATTTGATTCACTTTCTTTTACTCAAAAATCGCTCATAGTGAGATGGTTCTGTACGATTTAGAGTCCCATGATACAACCGATGGGAGACCGTTTCGCAACACTCGAAGAACGGAATCTACGAACTTAAAAATTCTACTTAAACTCTCGAGACTTACTTTGAATAGAAGGATTGCTAGAAGAAGAACACTTTTGAGGAGAAAGATTTCGCTGTGAGAAAGTTGTGTTTTGTAATGAGAGTGAAGGCTTTCTTTTATAGCCAATAGGAGGAGCCTGTTCAGAATCTTCTCAATAAAGACATAAGCATAACTCACACAAAAGGAGAAATTATTGGGCAAAAAATCCGCAAACTTTATGAGTCAAAGATTCATAAATTTTGAATCAAAATCAGGTTTGACTGGTTCTTTGTTGAGATAAGACTTTTAACAATTTGGTTTAAAGATTGGATCTAAAAACAATTGTCAAAATTTAGTCCAAAAAGAATAGTCACCCATTCAACCAACACAACCCACACCTGGCTCAGCCCGGCTTAGCTTGACGGCAGGGCTAGTGCGCAGTTCATTTTTTCTCACTCTAGTGCACTCTATGAGTAGTTGCTAATTGAACACTAGCAATACTCCTTCTTTATATAGACTAAAAGATTTTCTCTGATATTTTCGATGTGAGAACAATTCCCACACTTATACTTCTCATTTCTCTTGGACCAATTTTAGCCTATTTCTTTTCACTCTTGTTCCAATTTTTTCCTTAACCCATTGGCTTAAAAATTGTTCCAACAACTATAAGCCTATTAAGAGTTTCATACAATTTTAGACGATATTTACGATCCAAGGTTTGCATGTTGAATGCAACAACAAAAAAGTTAAAAAAATTATATAACTATCAAACTGAAAATTTGGTTTGGGTCGGGTTTCAATATACATGATCTTTAAAATTATGATCAAATTTACAGCTGCCATTATAAAATGTATGTGAACCGATTATTTTATATTTTATACTTTTCCATATTCAATGATAACTTTCTTTTGTTTCATTTGAAGAAAATGCATGATTAATTGTTTCTTCGGGATTTATTTGTTAACTGTGTCTTGGATTGTTTCCTTATCTTAAAAGGTTCTTTTTTACATTCCTCTTTTTGGTCAAAGATAAGATAATTCTTATACAATTTTTATCAGTATAGTCAAGAAGAAAAAAAAAACAGATTTTACCAAAATACACATTATATATATTATACTTCGTATTGGTTAAGACTTAAGAACGTGGTAATATTACTTTTTGTGCCAAAATGTTCTTTCCCCCTAAAAGCGAATTAATAATAGTAAAATACATACTATATATAGCGCACAACAGAAAACGACAGGTTAGTAGGTAATTCGAAAAATATACATGTGACGTAAATGGTATGGAGCACGCCCAACGTAACCAACAAATAACCGAAGTTATAGGGTTCGGTTATCCGTAAGCCTAGACCGAACTTGTCTTCGGTTAATGACTAGGTAAGATGTCCCTATTTATCGAAGGATGATAACATATAAATCATGTGAATGTGATACGTATAAAATACGGAAAGCTCGATCGATACCAACACGCATCAAACATACAAAGCGTACATTAGCACCATCGTAAATAATCTAATTACATTATAATCAAAACCTAAGTCTGTCAGAGACTCTCTATATATATTTTTGTTTTTTTTCTATTGCTTAGGGGGAGAAACTTTTCTTAAACGTACATGTATTATAACATCATTCTAAGTGTACTCATGCAGAATGATCATTTTGAAACTAAAATAAGAATATTTTCTGTTGAATAATGATCATTGCTATTTCAACTCTTAAAGTAATGAAAATTATTTGGTGAAAATGTTTTTGACCGATAACTTCTCACTCTTTTGTAAGTGTCAAACATACCGTTGGTCCAAAACTTAATTGGTGCTAACTAACTTTTATACGAGGAAAGGATAATTCAGAAAATATCACTTCCAGATAACTGAAGAATCGGTAAAAAAACTATT